CCCCAAAACCCCAAAACCCCAAAACCCCACAATCCACTATTTGCAATAATTAATGAATCAATTAAATAATGTTTGATTTTTATAATTAAAGAGTATAAAAAAACTATCTTATGATTAAAAACATAAATTATAAAATCATAATGAGATATCTAGTTGGATATTTTCCTCAGATATCATTAATCTGATACAAAATCATAACTTACAGCGTATGACGCAGGAACTTTATCAATATAAATGTCAAGATTTTCAATTTCAAAGTCTAAGAATTTTTTGCCATCAATAATGATTGATTCATAATTCAATTATCCTAAATTTTTCCAGCCATTCTCGAAGTAATATCTCATTGTTTGAGGGGCAGTAACAAATGCAGCCAATCCTTTGAAACTTGGGTGTGTTTTTTTAATATACTCACCCCATGACATGACCATTTTCATAAAGATTCCTTGACCTTTGTATTCTTAGTTCACAGCGATATGGCCAAAATATGCATAATCATCATACTTTCCATTCAAAATTTCTGCAAGTTTAGCAACAAGAAATCCACTTACTTCCCAGTTCTTTGAAATTCCTTCGAGCTTGTATTTGTTGCCGTATCTATTCATTGAAAAGCAGGCTACTAAATTCCCATTATCTGGATCTAATACACCGTAAACCTCTCCACCTACTGAGATTTTTGCTGGAAAACTCTTTGTAAAGTAATCTAGATAAGTTTCCAATGGAGCATCATACTTTTTCTGAACAAGTTTCTAAAGCTCGTTAATTTAATGAAAATTTTAAGCACTTAGTTCTATCGCTTTCTTCATTAAATCTTCGTTGTTATCAATAACGAATGCAGGATACTTTCCTGCGTAAAACACGGGCTCATCAGCCAGTGAAGAAGATATTGATTACATTTTATTCAGGATATTTTTTAATTAATGTATGTTTAGTATATTTTTACTATTACATACCATTTTATTTTACTATGTTTTTCACATGGGGTTTTGGGGTTTTGGGGTTTTGGGG